CTGAACACAATATTTCATATATGGTCTGATTAAGGTATAGTACAAAAGGACTATCATCTCCCTCATTCTAATTTAATCTAAGATCACATTGTCTTTGTTAGCCATCATGTCAAACCAATGTCTCCTCTTCCCTCTACAACACCTCCCCAATTGTAAACTCCCATGTCATTTTTCATCTTTCAATCTCTGACACTTAGGATAAAGGTTCAATCATAGTAGATATTAATGTTTGTTGCAGACATGAATTGACTTGAGTCTGCAATCCACTAAACCCCCTTGTCTTCCACAGGAATTGTTTCCTAGACATGTCTTCCACAGGCTGCACTGCCGCAGTATTTCCATATTAAAAAAGGAATCTGCACAACATACCCAAGAAGTAGTCATCTAGCCTCCACTGGAAGACCCATCAAGTAGGGGGAACCTATTCTTTTCCAAAGTATCCTATTCCACTCTGGGATAGGCCTCACTGTTAGAGAGGTTTGTTTTTTCTTGACATCAAGCCTAAAAGTGCCTCTATGCAATTCTACTCAATGCTTTTAGTTCTAGCTTATAAGAATAAGCACAAAAAAATCTTATCCCTCTTCCACGATACCCTGTCAAGTATTTGAACACCAAGCATGACTCCCTCTCCTCTACCATCTTCCCTAAAGTCTCCTTGCTGCCAGTCTATACATCCCCAATCCCTTCAACTGATGAATCAATTAATCAATACTTGTTAAGCAACTCCTGTGTGCCAGGCACTGTGCTGAGGGCTGGATCCTTATACATCATGGACTCAAGGCCTTTGCCAGCCTAGTTTACCTCCACTAGATGCTCCTACTTTATTAATGTTCTTCCTGAATTATGATGCACAGAAATGAAAAAGTAGTCTATGTATGAATCAGACAAAGTGCTGAGGGGCTATCACACTCATATATGTGTGAGTGTGAAAGTAAATTATAAAATATTACAATGATGAATAAGGCAGCAGAAGTAGGTAGTTGACACAGTAGATAGAAAGCTAGGCATGGAGTTAGGAAGACTTGAGTTCAAATCTAGTCTCAGATACTTACTAGCTATATGACTTTGGGCAAGTCGCTGAACTTCTATTTGCCTCAGTTTCCTCATCTAAAAAATGGGGATAATAATAGCATCTCTACCTCTCAGGTTTGTTGTGAGGATTAAATGTGAAAACATCTGTAAAGCACTTATCACAGTGCTTGGCAAAGAGATGCTACATAAATCTAGATAAACAGGTATCATATATATATAAATTGATATATATAGCTATATATCATTTATGATATATATCACATATGCTTATATATATACATATATCAATGTAAACCAAGATTACATTAACTTTTTTAGCTGATGATTCATAATTAATCTTCTTAAACAACTTATCTGCAATTTGTGTCACTGTTGAGTGAACACTAACCCCTTCCCCTACACAAAAGGTTAACTATTTAAAAAAATATTTTGATTACTATATTTCAATATAATTGGTTTTCTTCATAATCTTACGCATTTTATCTTTCACATTTAAGAAAATTATTCTGAGGAGAGTCAAAAGTGTCCATGACATAAACAAAAGCTTGAGAAGCTCTCCTCTAGATTCTCTTTTCATATTTGGTTTCAATGACATAAAACCCTCATGGCAGTCCTCCCACTTCTCTAACCACTTCTTCTAATCTCTTCTCCTAATTCCCTAATTATTTGTTCCCCAAAGCTGTTTTCAATCATCCTAACTTTTCCCTCATATGCTCCATTGATGTTTTTTGTTCTCATAGATTTAACTGTGGCTTTACATAGAACTCCTGAATATACATATAAATCTATCCAAACCTCCAACCTCTCTCTAGCTCCAGTCCAGAATCTCCATCAACTTGATGTTCATACCTGCATATACTAGAAATATTACTACTAATCATCATCATAGTAATAATAATGCTGAGCATTTATATAGTGTTCTAATGGCTACAAAGTGCTTTGCATTTTACAGATAAGGAAACAATCTGAGTGACATTAAATGACTTACACAAGGTCACACAACTAGTAAATGTCTATAACAAGATTTGAACTAGATCTTCCTGACTCTAAGTCCAGTACCGTACCTACTACACCATATCACTGCTGATTCTTTGTGCAACTCAAGTTCAAGAGACTACCTCCAAATGCGATTCAATTTCTAAATGTCCAAAACCAAACTCATGTTTTACCCTAAACTGGCCCTTTATCCTAATTTTTGTACTAATGTGTACATGTTATTACCATTTTCTTATGTTGCTAGGCTACAAATCTCTAAGTCATTTAACTGTTCTCACTTCACCAATTAGATATTGTCAATGGCCAAGTCAGTCTTGGTAATCCTAACCTTTGCAATATCTTTGCAAATCCTTTTTGCAATCACAAAATCTTTGCAATGTCTCTTACATCTATCCCTTCTCTATTTCAACCAATGCCACTCTTCATTCATTTCTTCATTACTTTGTACTCAGTTTATTGAAATTACCTTTTAACTGCCTCTAGTTTCTCCCCATTCCAACTCATCCTACACAGTGAAGTTTACACCAGAGCAATCTTTGGAATGTATATTTTTCATTACATCACTCTATTCCTCAAAAGCATGGCTCCTCGCTGCCCAATGAATTGACTCTAAATACTGTTTTATAGTATTGACAAGGCCCTCTATAATCAGGTTTCAGCCTATGGGAAACAGTAAGCAGCAAATATTAAGAGAAATTATATCTGGTCCAAAAGTTAGTTAATAGTTAACCTTTTAACCTTGAACAAGTAGCTAAAAAGTTCTTAATTTCCTCATCTATAAACTGAAAAGATTGTACCAGATGAAAAATCTATTATACTACTTTCCAACTCATATCAAATAGTATTCCTTTCACAAGTTTTATGATCATGTCAAATAAGACTATTTTTCATTCCCAAAAGTTAGCCTACCCATTTCATACCATCATGCATTGTCACGACACCTTTTATTCTTGAGACAAACTAACACATTCCCCAATGACCACCTGTTCAAATACTATCCATCTTTTAAGGACCAGATTTATTACCACTTTCTCTATATATTTTCCATTATCAACAAATCCTTAATTTGTAATGGATCTCTCATAGCTTTTTTGTACCTTTCTTAAGTGTTTATATTACCTTACTTTGTATTGCATGTATATTCATGTCTTATCTTGCTGAGAGCAGGTATTCTATATCGCGCATCTTTGTATAACTCAAACTGTTTTAATATTTAATAGATAAATAAGAAAAGTCTAATGAATTAAACTGCTGGTTTTGCCCTATTCATCAAGTACATAACCTGGCATACCAGAAAAGCCTGGATAACAAATTTCCAAACAAAAAATAGACACTTATTTCCTGACATCTTTAGATTTATTCAAAGAAGTCTGTTGATCTAAATTCTATTTTATGACTAATAGCACTGGACTTGAAAATTCTTGAGAATGATATGGAAGATACGCCTTCTCTACATGTTGTTTGCATGTATGTATATGTGTGTGTGTGTGTGTGTGACATAAGAGGTGGTATTCATATATTAAAATATATAAAGCCACCAGAAGAGTAAGGGGGAGCTATGAGGGTGGCAAAGGAATCCAAAATTATGCAATGCAAAATCAAGTTAAAGGAACTAGGAATGTTTAATAATCTGAATATTTTTATTTTAGAAAAGGTTTATAAAGAAACATGTTTCTAGCATTTAAGTGGTTGTCATCTTGAAGAGGGATGAGTTCTGTGCTCGACTCCAGAAAGCAAATCTAGGAGCAATAGGTACAGAGAGGCAGACTAGTTCAATAAACTAAAAACTTCATAATAGTTGGAGCTTTCCCAAAATGGAATGGGATGTCTCTGTAAATAGTGAGTTCTCTGTGACTAGAGTTCTTCAAGTACAAGCTGAAACACCATTTGCTTAAAATACCACAGAGGGAATTCATGCTTCAGGTATGGGCTAGAACAGATGTCCCTTCATGGTTTAGGATTCTATGATTCTACAAGTTTTCTTTTGTTGTTTTTTTTTTCCTAGTATACTAATAAATCTGTACCTGGTGCATCCCATTTCTCTCAAAATCAATGGCAAATATTTCAAATTGAGCTAGCAGAAGTCAAGAGGGCACTGTACATCCAAACCCACCTTGGAACCAAACATGAAGCCTAGAGCAGAAGAAAGATAGCTGATGTACCTAATGGAAGAACCTAGGAAGCATATGTTCAGTTCATATGTCCTCAGCAAACATTTATTAAGCAAGTACTACACGGCAAGCACTGCTCTCCAAGTAAACATCAGAAACATGACAAGAATATTTTTCACATTTAATCTCAAGACTCTGCAGTCTATTATTTGGTCTTTATTCCTCTGGAATTTTCTATTGTTTGTTATAGATCACTGGCTTTAAGAATTATAGATTCCTTGGCTCCCTTTATAGCTATTCTGGCCTCTGGGCATTTCTAAACTACAAAATATTCCTTACTCTATCATTAGCAATTCTACAGCCGTCAAGAGTTATACAGTATCTTGAAGTATAAAAACTAACTTACCCATGCCAAGCTCTTAGATTTTCCATTAGTGCAGGAATTATTGGGCTAAATCCATATGGGACCCTGAGACCCATAAAATGCACAGGAGAAGCATCCCTAAAATTTCATTTTCATACAGTTTGGAGCTGGTTCCTTTCCAATCTGCTGAGTGACAAACAGAACAATTTCTCTTCTTGATTCCTTGATACCACTCTTATTTTCAAGGCTGAAAAAGATGGCTACCACTTCCCAAAAGGCAACTTCCACAGACCTGTCTCTCAATGCAATTCTTCCAGGCATTCAGCATTTTAAAATATGCCTCCATGTTCATTACTGCCATATATGAAATCATGTATGTGTACTCCATAACATGCTGACAGAGAAAGTCTGTTCAGTCGAAATTCCTTCCTTCTCTGCTCCTGTTCTTTGAGAGTGGGACTGAGGAAAAAATAGACTTTTATTTCTATTTTGCTTACCCTGAGACATGCAGCATCAGCAGTATGTAGAAGACGAAGAAGAGGTTGTGAGTATACCAGAAGATGTCATAATTAGAAACCCTGAAAAACAAATGTTTGAATTTAGTGCTACTGCATATATTCTACTCCACCTAAAAGACATATGCATGGTTCTATAAATATAACACCTTTTAAGATGCCTAAGAATAGAGTGAATCCTAGATTTAATCTATTAGTATAAAAGTGTGGCTAATGCATTCAACAGCACAGAGAAACTGAAATCAATTACAACTTATGGTTTATCTACTTAAAGCCATCCAGGATATTACAACATTAAGTATAAATGTAACTAACATAAATGCTGCTGTTGGGTGTGATGATAATGTAGGAGGAAGGAATTAGAAATTGAGACTGCTGATTAATTCAGTATACCTACTTTTTATCTGCTCACATGCTTGCTGTCTTTTCTTTTTCCCTAGTTTATAATGATTTTTTTTAACTGTGTAGCATATTCAGTTGTTTTAGTTGTGTCTGACTCTTCATGACCCCATTTGGGTTTTCTTCTCAAAGATAGTGGAATGGTTTGCCATTTCCTTCTCCAGCTTATTTTACATATGAGGAAACTGTAGCAAAAAGGGTTAAATGAATTGCCCAGGGTCACACATCTAGTATGTGCCTAAGACTAGATTTGAACTCAGGTCTTCCTGACTCTAGGCCTGGCACTCTACCCACTATGCCCCCTTGATACTCATACTCTTTAACATAGCCAATGAAATTACAGTGACATTTTATGTCAAAGAGGAAATTATAAAATTAGCAGGTTATTAATTTTTTTTCACATTACACAAAGTGAGAACAACAGGCCCTAGAGCCAAAGGATATATCCTAAGGCATGTTTGGATTAAATTACAAAACAAATGAACACAAAAGGGAACATTCTAGAATCAATTTGCCTAACTATATATCAGAATGCAACCCACCTTTCTCCATCTTGTCCACAAAAATATCATATGACACTTTGCCAAACAGCCATCTCATTTCTAGATGGCCTAAGTTTATAGCATTTCCCTGATATTCTGGTCTAATGATGCCACCAAAAATTTAAAAAAAAAGGAAATATGGCTATATGGGCATAGCTGTCTTACTGAACCTATGCCAGCTACTAGTTATCACCCCTTCAATTTTTAATTCCAATTTTAAATGGCATAAGAAATTTAATAATGTGTTCTATATTTGAGGAGGGAGAGAGTTCCAGGCATGGAGGATAACCAATGAAAATTTTTGGAGTTGAGAAATGAAGTGTCTTGTTCAAAAGAAGTAGGGAGGCCAATGTTGCTAGATCCAAAAGTATGTGGAGTAAAGCAAAGTGTGAGAAGACTGGAAAAGTAGAAAGGGGAAGATTCTGAAGGGCTTTAAAAGCCAATCAATCAGGACATTATATTTGATGTTAGAGGCAAGAGGGAACCACTTACTGAGCAGGGGACTGTGGGAAGGAGTGGGGAAAGGTTAACAGTCAAATTTGCACCTTTGCAAGATCAGTTTGACAGTTGAGTGGAAGTTGGATCACCTTGGGGAAAGCCTTGAGTCAAGGAGGCCAACCAATAGGCTGTTGCAACAGTCTAAGCATGAGGTCATGAGGGCCTTCACAAAGATGGTAGCAGTGTCGTAGAAGGGGGCATATATGAGAGTTGTTACAAAGGTAAAAACAACAAGATGACAACTGATTAGATATCTAGGGTGAGGGAGAGAGGAGACAAAGGATCATACCTAATTTGAAGGCCTGGTTGATGATAATAGGGAAGTAAGGAAGAACTATGATCTAGCACAATTTTTAGATCTTTAGGATATATATCAACTGGGCCTAAATGCGTAAAGAAGCAGCTCTCACAAGGAAAAGAGTGTAAGCTTGAGAATCAGAAGACCAGGGGTCAAATCCTGCCTCTGGTACTTACTAGCTATGTGCCCTTAACTCACTTAACATTCATCATAATGATATGTTCCCTCATCATAAAACAAGGAGGCTGAACTGAGTACCTCTGAGATTCCTTCCTGCTCTAGCTCTCTGATTCTATGAGTCATGATTAACTGTGTATTCTTTGACTCTGTCTATCTTTGGCTTCATTTTCCTGTTAACCTTTTTGTTATTCCCTTAAGCCTGAAGACTGTCCATCTCAGCAGAGAAGCCAGGAGCAAAATAGGAAAACAAGTAATAATAATTTCTCTTTGTCATCTGTTAACATTATATATTATACACCAAGGAGTGGGTCTATGCCTTCCTTGTTCTTTGCATATATCATAAAGTCTTTTTTTTAGGCTTTAACCATTCTTCTACCAAACACTAACTTAACTCAGATTTTATTAGCCTTCTTGTATTTACATTTTTCTAGCAAGAAATAAGAAAGAAAGCTTCTTCATGAATTACTCAGATTTTCCTCTAGATTCATAACATGCCAGGGATAGACATTTAATAATAACTTCCATTTATGCAGCAGTTTCAAGTTTGCAAAACACTTTACACGCATAGTATTATTTAACACTTGCAACAACCTTATGACTAAGTGTTATTATTATTCCCATTTTATAGATTAAAAAAAAGATCAGAGAAGTTAAGTGATTTGCCTAGGGCAACACAGCTAGAACCTGTCTGAAGTAGGATTTAAACTCAGGTTCTCCTGATCCCAAATCCAGTGCTACATCCACTACTAATGGTATTCACCATTGTAAAGGGACTAGATTGTTAAGCAATTAAGGTTTCCAACCTTAGTTACTATCTCAGTCAATTTACAAGCATCTATTAAGCACCTACTATGTTCCAGACACTGTGCTAAGTGTTAGGGATACAAAGAAAGTCAAAAACAGTCCCTGCTCTCAAGGAGCTCATAATTATATGGAAGAGACAACACGCCAATAACTATGTACAAACAAGTTATGTATAAGATTAACTGAAGAGAATCTCCAAAGGGCAATTGAGAACCAGAACTCCAACTTTTCAGGCAGGGCATAGAAGAGAATCTAGTTATACAGACTCCTGATCTCATGCTCATTCCATTCATAAAATCATAGAGAAACTTATAATATGAAAGGAACTCAGAAAATCAAAGTGATTCTAGTTCGAATGGTACCTGAACAGGAAGCACGTCTACAAAATTCCCAGTAAGGGGTCATCCCTCTTCCAATTCAAGGCCTTCAGTGATGGGGAATGTATGACTTTTTTTTTCCATTTTTGATGATTCTAATTTTTAGTTTTCTTTTCATTGAGTTGAAATCTGTCTTTCTACAACTTCTACCCACTGCTCCTATCACTCCCATCTCTGGTCAACTTAAAACAAATCTAATATCATCCCCACATAAAACCTCTTCAAAAATTCTAAAACTGCTATCAAGCTCTCCCTAAACTTTTTCTTCTACATTGAATCCAAATTTATCTAGGTCAGCATTAATATGAATAATGAATCCCCTGAAGTGGTCACATATATTTGAATTTGCACTACTCAAAGTCATAATTATATAAAATATTATAATTGTTTCTATCCAAACAGAAATATACAGTGTGAATTTGAATAATGCAACCACTTTGGAAAATTCTTCATTCATACTAATTGTGATCTAGCTATATAGTATAGTTCCTAGTTCCCTCACTGTTCTATGTTGTCCGCTGAGCATTGCATCTTATCCATATCCTTCCTAAAAGGTGGTACCCAGAACTGAAAGCAGTGTTCTAGGCATGGCCTGAAAGGAGCAGAGTACAAGAAGATGATCGTCTACCATTCATCCTCATTAATAATGTTCTATTAAAATTAACTTACAATCACGTTCATTTTTTTAGTTGCCATATCACACCTACTCATATTGAGTTTGAAGCCCTTTCCTCACCAAATACATACGTATGTATATATGTACATATATTTGTATGTGTATATATAAAATAGCTTTTTTAATTCATAAGAACTATTGTGCATCTATACCTTCCCAATCCTAAAATTAGGCAATTGTTTTTTTCTCAAACCCAAGACTAAGACTTTACACTTAACTCTATTAAATTCATTTTATTACATTCAACTGATTATCCTAGTCTGTAAAAGTATTTTTGGATCTCTTTTTTTCTCTTTTTTTAAAATTAATTAATTTATTTTTAGTTTTCAACATTCAATTCCATAAGCTTTTGAATTTTAAATTTTCTCCCCCTCCCTCCTTACCTCACTCCCTAAGACAATGTGCAATCTGATATAGGCTGTACATATAATTCCTATTAAACATTTTCACATTAGTCATGTAGTAAAAAGAATTAGAACCAATAGGAGTAACCACAAGAAAGGAGAAACAAAATAAAACAGAAGAAAAAGAGAGAGCAAATAGTAAGCTTTGACCTGCATTCAGACTCCAAAGTTCTTTCTCTGGATGTGGATAGCACTTTCCATCATGAATGTTTTTAAAATTCTCTTGTATCATTGTATTACTGAGAAAAGCTAAGTCTATCAAAGTTAGTCATCACACAATGTGGCTGTTACTGTGTACAATGTTCTCCTGGTTCTGCTCACTTCACTCAGCATCAGTCTATATAAGTCTTCTCAAGTTTTTCTGAAGTCTACTTGTTCATCATTTCTTGTAGCACAATAGTATTTCATTGCATTCATATACCACAACTTATTCAGCCATTCCCCAACTAATGGGCATCCCTTCAATTTCCAATTCTTTGCCACCACAGAAAGAGCTGCTATAAATATTTTTGTACATGTGAGTCCTTTACCCATTTTTATGATCTTTTGGGATATAGCCCTAGAAGTGCTATTGCTAGGTCACAGGGTATGCACATTTTTATAGCCCTTTGGGCATAGTTTGGATCCCAATTCTTGAGGCCAACATGAAAATCACATCATCAAGCCAATTCAAGTCAACTATGAATGCTAAATTTCCCAGTATTTTGTGATCAGTAAATTTGATAAACATGGAATCTATGCCTTCATCACATTATTGACAAAACTATTGAACAGAACAAGGCTAAGGAAAGTTTCCTGGATGTGGGCTCTTAACCTGGGGTCAATAAACCCTCACAGATTTAAGGAAATCTTTGAATTTGAATGGGAAAAACATTACATTTTTAT